TTGAACTTCTCCCAAGCTAGACTCACCAGCTGGGTGACTTGCTTGACGCTCTCCTCGAAGAAAGCTGCAGTAGCGTCCGAGAGCTGGCTGTGCACTTCCAATGACCTGTCCTTCTGTTGCTCAAGTTTTGCGAGGCGACGACAGACCTTGGCTCGCAGCATCAACGTCAACTCAGGTGCCAGTTCTCCGGGGCAGTCGCGCAGAAGCTCAACAAGCACAGTGATGATCAAGAACTTGTAGTAAACTCTTCCAGCCTCGCTTCCTAGCGAGAGCTGTAGCTGTCTCTGGATACCTACGCGTATTGCCATCCAGAGAGGCAATCTTCGCCACGGCAGTTCTGCGGTCTCTATATTGGCATCGTCACGGACTCGTTTCCTCAAGCGAGGAACACTTTCGTCTACCGAGGGCCCGATGGACTCGAGCAAGGGTATGAGAAGGTGTGTTATGAGCCCCGGACTTCCTGTATCTCGCGACTCGACGACCGGAGTCTGCGATTTTGTCGCGAACGCCTGGAAGCATCTCAAGGACTCCATGCTGCCCTTTTCCAGAAATTCAGCTAGCGCGTGCTGGAACGACGGCTTCTGAAATTCATGGAGTGGTATCTGGGCCGAGCAGTCTGGGAAATCGCAGACAAGGGCGCCTTCGCTAGCCAAGACTTCGGCAGATGGGGGCGATATCTCGAAAGCTTCGAATACGACAGCTTCTGTTGGGGCACTGTTGCAATATCTATCAGTTGTGAAGTTCACGTCACATCGAGAACCATAGGCGGCAGGCATACCTGACATGGTAACGAACGATAAGCGCAGCGTTCTGTTCTGCGACATGCAAGATAAGCGGTTGCTCCTGGTCAAGTTTGCGAAGTTTCGAGGTCAGCGACAGCTTCTCGAGCCTACCTTGTTCATGGAGAGATTGATAGCGACGAAGATACTGACGAATGGCGTACCAGGGAGATGTGTGTTCGTGGCCAGAGAGTCGGCTCAGCGTATCCGTAGCATGAACGACTCGGACAACAATGGCATCACCAGTGCTTTCGATGTTGGCATCCTGTTTGCCAGGAAGCTGTGGCGGTAGGACAAGGTGATTAAACACTTCCTTGAACACAGACATGGTGAAAGATGGGAAACTCAGAACCCAAGACGAAAGACTCAAAATTCAGTCGCCAGTAGAGGGCACTTTCACAGAAAGTCCTTACGAGCAGCCAGATACATTGAGCACATAAGCCAAGTCGGAAGTGACTGCAGGTTTTGCGCTACTGTGTGATCGTGTCGTATACAAAGTAAACAACACGGTGACACGCCAAGCCATGCAGCCCAATAGTCTCAAACCCTTTGATCGAGTCGACGAATAATACATGTTCGCTTGTTGTGTCACAAATGAGTAATGTTGGTGACTCTTCTAGATGTTGCGGTTAGCATGCATTGTTACTTTCGTAATAACCCTTACCCCGCCGACACTGGCCAATGGATAAGGCAAGCATGCAGGTGACACTGCAGAGGGGCCTCAGTAGCTCAAAACAAAGTTTCCAGCACGATAAGTACGCAGGTAACGAGCTTGGTCTCCATTTTGATCACGGTATACAGCGTCAAACAGCTTGCTGCGTGAGCGTAGGGTCTACTTGCGGCTGCCCGGTCAACGTGTTTGGTAGCGAGAGTGGATCTCGTCGATCGAGTTAAGAAGATGACACTGTACTTGCGGAATAGTGGGCTATCGCTATGGCTGCATCGACACTCTTACGCCATGTAGATATGTGTCAGATCTGGTGCGAAGCCTGCGCCCATCTGACAAGGCGCATGCGATGCTCCCTGGCCCAGCATGAAAAAAGCACTTTGACCATCTTCCATGTCGGTGTTCATCAATAGCTCCTCATGATTCCGCGCGCCCAAGCACAAGCGTAGAGAGATAGCCAATGATCGCCAACCAGTAGTGATCAGGATGATCTTTGGAGGCAAGCCAGCCTCCTCATCAGTTTCAAGGTATATCATCGGCGACGACTAGTGACAACATGACTTGAGTTCTACTTACTCTTGGTATCTTACCCACAATGACGCACGAACCCACCGCGCATCATACACGCGATTCGATGGTGTGCTGATCTGTTTGCTAGAACTTGCCGTGCTGTAAGCCAACGCGAACACCGTGCCTAATAACGTGCAGTGCTCACTGCTCCGACAGCAATCAAGGCATTCTTGGCTCTGAGTGAAAGATTGTGTCATTCGCCGAACATAGCTCACATGCTCTGATGCCCGTCAACCTTTCTATTAGCAAGTTTGCTTTCCCAACAGTACACGACTGGGTGAAGTATATGAACATGTAGCTCGTGTGCGCAACTTGTGCTTTGAGGGACACGTATATCAGACAGCCAAGACATCAAGGTTACCAGATAGTCCTGACGACTATTGTGGGACTTTGGTGCTATGATGACAACAAAGCCATATGCACCTGCTTCCCATCCACATGTCCGCTCGCTCGGCTTTGCGTTTGCACTCCACCGTCACTCTTCCAGTATGCCATGTCAAAGCTGAGGCAGTGCTTTCTGCTTTCTCTCTATCCAATCCTGCCGATTTTGATCAACGAGGTGTGCTGATGCAGCGCATTCGCTAGAACACGAAGAGTTGCGCGACTCATTCGTTGCCGCCGTTGCTAAGCGTCTTAGCGTGCTGAAGTTGATCCGCCGATTGGAGATCGAATCATGACGCCTCTATCTAAATACACATCTGGAGGTCGGTCTTCTGCTCAATGCGCCGCATATATTTGATAGGAGAAACACCTGCCGTCATGGAACGGCCTACCCACATTGTGGGAACCGAGCCGCAGCGACATCTAGACGACACACGTACACAGTCAATATGGTTGAGTCGTTCCATTTTCTGCCCTTATAGCGACGGAATCCATAGTTTTGTGTCTGTCTGACCCACAGCCCTGCACGACGGATGCAAGCGACAAAGTAAACAGACAAGCAATGCATGCCCTATGATGATACCTACCTTAGCACGCCCGTGCAAAGACCCGAACTACTTCTGAGTCTTTCTATCCACGACATTGCCGATCCACAACGGAGCTTCTGTGTATACAGATTGAGTCGCAGAAAAAAAAAGTACTAAATGGCAGAATATCGCGTGACTGTATTCTGTCACTGTAGACAACTTTCAATCAACTTGAACAGCATATGATCATCTTCACTGTTGAGTTGGCACGCATTTCCAATGATACAGACATGG